TTCTTTCCTTTTGAGCAGTTCCTTCCCCTTTCACAATTCTGTTGTAGTTTTTATATCTTACTCTTTCAGCTTTCTTACGCTAGTGAGACACTGCATTGTATACACACGTGAGTCTGATCGATTTCACTAATGACTGTGGTCTCTAGTTGCATCATTTACCTTTAGCAGCCTCGCATTTATCTTTCTTTGTAGCTGAATAGTACTCCATCGTATAAAAATACCACATCATTGTAACCAGTCCTCAGTTGATAGGCTTTTAGTTGGTTTCCAATATTTGCCTATTAAAAGCAGTGCTGCTGTGAACATCAGTGGACATACATCACTGAGGTACAATATTATTAATTCTGGGAAAATAGCCAGAAGGAGAACATCTGGGTCAAACGGGACCTCTAGCCTGAGGTTCTGAGGAATCTCCACAAGGATTTCCACACTGGTTTTCCCAGCAGTGGAGAAGGTTCTGTGCTCCTCACAGCTCCACCAGCATTTCTATCCCTTGATTTCATGATTAAGCACCTTTCCTTCTGGGGTGAGATGGCATCTCAGTGTTGTTTTACTTTACATTTCTCTAGTGACCAGTGATGGTGAATTTTTTTAAAAAAATTCTATTTGTGTTTCATCTTTGAAATAATATTCACCTCAGACACCCATTTTTGACTAGCTTTTTGCATTGGGGGGGGGCTCATTTTTTCAGTTCTTTGTGTTCTATATAGTCCTTTGTCTGAGGGACAGTTGGCTAAAATTTTTCCACTGTGGATTTTCTTTTTACTCTCTTGGTGATTTCTTTATACAAGTTTTTTTTCCCCTGATGTATATGTTTTCTGGCAGATTATCAAATTGCAAAATAAACTAAAGTTCTTTGATTTTACAATTCCCCCAACCCTGCTTTCTTTTAATTCACAAAACACCTTGAAACTCATAGACCAGCCAACATATCATTATTTTTTTCTGCTGCATAAGGACAGCACATCTATACCAGCTCTTTTTGTATCTGTAGAGCTCTAAAACTACCTTGCCTTACAGAAGTCCCATGGGTTTGTCATGAATCTCCACAAGGCATCCTTCACATCCTTGTTCCTCAGGCTGTAGATCATGGGGTTCAGCATGGGGATCACCAGGGTGTAAAACACAGAAGCCAGTTTATCGGTGTCTAAAGAATAGTTAGTTCGGGGCTGCAAATACATGAACAACAGCGTCCCATAAAAAACAGCAACCGCCATCATATGCGACCCGCAGGTGGAGAACGCTTTCTTCCTTCCTTCTGCTGAACGCATCCTTATAATAGACAGAATAATGTTGAAATAAGATATTACAACTATCACCATTGAAAAAACAATATTCGAAGCTGCAGATATAAAGACTATTGTTTCTGCGACAGACGTATCTGAGCAGGACAATGTCAACAGAGGCATGATGTCGCAGTAAAAATGATTGATCACATTGGAAGAGCAGTAAGACACAGAGAATACACAAGGTGTAACAACAACAGCCGTGCCTAATCCATACAGGTACGGGAAGGACACCAGCAGCAGGCAGACCCTCCGAGACACCACCACCATGTAGAGCAGGGGGTTGCAGATGGCCACGTAGCGGTCATAGGCCATCACGGCCAGCATGAAGACTTCAGCTACAATGAAAACCAGGAATCCTCCCAGCTGGGTGGCACATGCATAGTATGACATAGTTTTTTCTTTTACTAAAAAATTGATCAGCATTTTAGGAGCAATGACAGTGGAGTTGCTAAAATTTATAACAGCCAGATGCCGGAGGAAGAAGTACATGGGAGTTTGCAGTTTGGAGTCCACACTGGTGAGGGTGACGATGCCCAGGTTGCCCATCACTGTCAGCCCATAGATGACCAGGAAGATGAGGAAGAGAGGAATCTGGAGATCTGGTCGGTCTGAGACCCCTACGAGAACAAACTCGGTGATGTGGGTCATGTTTCCAAGTGCCATGCAAGCATTGGAAATTCATCCAGCTAAGGAAGAAATAAGGAGTTAGGAATTCAAAGGAGATCTCTTCTAGGTGTATCATCAGGTACCAAGGGTAATTCCTTGAGGGCAGAGCAGAATGAATATCCTATCTTAGTCTAGATCTGTTAATAATATTGAAGTTCTAGGACAAATAATTGTCATACAGTTTCCCAGGTTTTCAGAGAGAAAATGGAAGTAAGACAAAACGATGAAGAGCCAGCGTTGTGAAATAGTTTCTGGATTTAATACCTTGGAATTATATCAAATATTAATATAATTTTAGCTTTTCAACATGTTTGTAGAAAAAAAATTAGTATTTGATGATTGTGGGTTTTTTTTGTGGTGAGCTCAGACTTAATTGAAGTCACTGTGATGAGGCTGCAATGTAAACTGGAGACTTAATACAGATCCACCATAATAATCATTTAGATTTTATTCTAATGGAATTCTATGCTATTGGGCAGGTGCAAGGTAGGCAAATCACATTTCATATTTATTACGAAATTGCTCAGGTTGTTAAGCAAATAATGGGTTGTTAAACTGGAAAAAGCTAGAAATGGAGCATCATTAAAAAAAAAATAACCCGAAGCAACTGTTGCAGAATTTTTGGAAAAATAAAATACTGGCTTGAGTCAACATGTAGAATCTTTGGCAGAGATACATCTGATAGTTGGGAAACAAGATATTTTTGACATAGTTTGTACAGTAAATTTTATGAGCAAGGTATGAAAGATGATTGATAAAGTGTAGATTAAGGCCAATTTTCACTATCGGTTTTTGCCATTGAGTCAATGGCCGTGACATGTTTTAAATACTAGGGAACATTGTTTAATATGAAATCATCAAAGTGATGTTTTGAATATAGAGATACTAAGCTTTAGATGCTCATGAAATATTTACACCATCATTTTGAAAACCTCCTCTTGAACTCAGGAACATGCTGGTGAGGTGCCATTTGCCGAAACTTGAGAGGCATCCAAGTGGGTCACACCCCAGTGACTGATGGTGTTTTTCTTCTACCTCAAGGTTAATTTCCTTTTTTATTTTTTAATTTCTGTTAGGTTTTCTGTCCCAAACTCGTGAGATGTTCCAGTTTCAACCTGCTGTAGGGTCCATTGAAAGATACCCATCTTTTGAGCAAATTGTGGTTTTCTGCTTATCAACAAGCACTAAACTACATTGCAGTACTCTGTGTGTCCACTTACATTGCTCTTGCCTTGCCCTCTCTAATTTTCCAGGCTTGTTATTTTTATCAGCAAACCTATATGTCTTTACTTTTCCCTTGGTGAACATATACAATATCAGGTAAAATGAATGCTTGCAAATTTTACCAGCTTTTCTCTTTTTGTTGAAACCTAGTGTGTTGCTAGTTGTGTACCTTATTTGCAAATGTAATAATAGTTTCAAAAAGCAACCATTTCAAATCATAAAGATCATGCTTCCCTTTTCCATTTTTCAAATTCCTAGACTGTGTTAATTTTTAAGTTTTTTTCTCATCTTCTCTGATACAGGTGATATTCAATGTAGAGAATGCTGCATAAACAAAATGTCGATGTAAATGTATTCAATGAACATTTTTGTAGTAGTTATTTCAGTTCTAATTGGAAACATTAAATAGATGGGCCATATTTGATGTATTGTATTACAAAAACAGTTAAGAGTCTTGGAAAGAAATACTTGCTTAGGCAAATGTTTATGATCATGAACAATTAGGTTCACAAGCTGAAGCAAAATTGGGATTCCATTGATAGACTCTGTTGGGTGCAGAACGCCACTGCCCCCACCTTCCCAACATGAACAGGATGTGGACACCTTCCCCAGAATCACAGAATGCGTTAATCTGTGAACCAAGGAACTGCTGCATCTGATTCTGTGTCAAGTCCTCTCATCGAAAATGAAGGTGCATGACTCTGTAAAATCTGGGTTGGCTTTTTAAAGGATAGTGTAACAGAGATGAGTATCTTCCCACTTCTAATTAAACATCTGCCTTCAGTGACAAGCTCTGCTGCAGTGTGTCTAAACTGGAGGCCCAAACCCTGAATCAGAAGAACTCCATTATGCACAAATTACCAGTAGCCCCTTAACCAAGGTAACACTTGGAATTGGTCCCGTAAGAAACCTTCTCTTCAGAAGTTAACCACACACCGTGAGATTTTCGTGTAGCCCACACCTGTCTTGGTGAAGTGAACCCAGCTTGAAAGCATCTGAGGGACATAGCAGTTACTGCGTGTCTGGCAAGCTCCTTCGGTTTCAATCAGAAATCGTTGCAAAATGGAATATTCAAGAGTCATGGGCGGACGGTCTTGCAGTGAGATTAGAAGATACCGTAAACTTAAGTGATAGTTTTATTATTCCATCAGCTTTCTCATTTTCTTGTTCTTTACCTCAGTAATAAAATTGATAGAATTATACCTTGTAAAGAAAGTAATGTGCATGCAAAAGGAGGATGTGGCCTTATGGAATAATTTTTATGGGGTAACCTTACTATTTCACTGCTTGCTTTGTGCCTGCATCTCAGATGAGAGATGAAATGGTGGTGTGTTACTGAAGAAAAATCAAGCTGTATTTAAAAGTAAAAACTGTGTTACAGTTGGAAACATTTGTAGATTTCCAGATTCACAAGTATGTTTACAGCATTGAATATTACATACATATATATACACATATGTAATGTATGTACATATACACATATGTAATATATGTGTATATTTAAGATTTGAGGATTTGACCTATGTAGGTCTTTTTTATGTATTTAGTACAGGGCCTACAGGATCTCACTACACAGATCAGACTCGTAGTGATCCTCCTATTTTCAGCCTCCCAAGTGCTGGGTTGACAGGCACTTACAACCACTCCCAGTCTCAGTAGCCATCACAGGGGGTAGGGCCATCACCACATGCCAGGGATTGAACCCTGGTCCTTACATCTACCTGAGCAGGCATTCTAGTCTGCTGAGCTATCTGGCCAGTCTTCTATGTAGGTTTTAAGTTGAATTTGAAATTGAAGATATCTGACAGTATATTTACAAAAATATAAATGTACACAGACTACATATATGTATATGTTTTCTTTTCAAAACTCAAGCAAACAAACCATATTCACGCTAAAAACTTTGCAGTGAGTATCTGAGGATGGTGACTAGGTTTGGCTAGGAAGTGAAGTTCACAGAGGTATAACTTCTGAAAACTTCTATAATAAAATGTCACAGTGTGTACAACTGAAATTGATTTTCTCACTGATGTTCCACTAGATGCCCACAGTCAAGACGCCTGGGGTCTTTGTTCTGCTCTGGCTCGCCAGTCGCTGCTTGCCCACATGGTGCCCACACGACCCTGCCTGCCTCTAACCATCTAGTTTGTGTTTGGTGTGTCTACCTCTCCCAGCTTAATGTCTTCTCACAAGCACCAGAGATGCAATGGTTTAAATTTCAACTGTATGAGCCCATTCGAAATTAACTGTTTTTATAAAGGTCTAATTTTTGCTTTTTGAAGACAGGCTTCACTGTGTAGTGCATCTGAACCTTGAACTTACTTATGTAGGCCAGGCTGGCTTTGAACTCACAGCAATCTTCCTGCCTCAGCCTCTTCAGTGCAGAGATCACAGGGGTGCAATGCCACATCTGGCTACCAAGGTCATGTGCCCATGAACTGGAGTTTAGCACTTCAGAATGAATTTGGGAATAGATACAGTTCAGACCATAATGAAAGTACTCAAAAAATTATGAAGAAGCCACATTTCTGACTCAATAATGATAATTGCCATGAATAGCAAATAAAATTATTTAAAAATGCCTATCTTATGGCAAAAGCAATTGAAAAGGTCTTCATTGGGTAGAAAACTTACTTTCTGTAGAAATAATGAAAGTTATTAAATACATAGACAAAATATTTATAAGATTATTAATTGGTCTGATAAGTTATCAGAATCTAAATATTCAGTTTGAAATTCACGAAGAAAGCTATGAACATATTCATACATAATTAAAGAATTTCACATGATTTATCTAGAAAAGTTTCCGATGCTTCAAAAGCAAGCTAAAAATGTTATAAAAGATACTTTATATTACAGATATCACTATCATGTGGAATTTAAAAAAATCAAGTTCATTGAGTCAGCAAAAGAACTTTCATCCCCTCAACTTTATGGTAGTGAAAATTTGGTTGCATTGATGGAATTTAAATAAAAGGAAGTCCAAAGACTTCAATAGAATACAAGGTGCATGTGAACATCTCCTAGAAATCAATACCAAAAATCATCCTAATAAAAATAGCGCAAGGCATCTGGAAAGAGACTAAAAGATATTAGAGAATATTCGGGATGATATCAATACACTTGATTGAGGGTAGTAATAACACAAATGACTTGTCTTAAAAGTCAGACATACATATTTTTGTAGCATCTACCCATTATTTGATAATAATTGGCAAATAAAGCTAGATAACTTCTAAGTATAAACAATAATGTTTTGCTGGACATAGTGTGGAATGAGTCTCCCACTGAAGCCCATCA